TTCTGTACTACAACTTTTAAATTGAGCTAAATTAAATTAACTTTTTATATGTTTACAAATTTCGGTCTTTGTTTATCGCAGCCAAAATTTACATATCTATGAGTCTCAGTTTCGTGGTAGGTAAGAAAAGTCAATGATCTCCGCGGTTACCGGTTAACTAACTTATTTACAAGAACGAACCGCCTGATAAAATTCATACCACAAAAATCAGTTTTGGCAGGCCTGGACCCGAGCATCACTTGTACCGAAACTGGCCCCCTATTCACATTTATGTTTTGCTGGGATATCATACATTTTTTTAAAGTTTTTTCTTTTATTGTACTAAATGATTACTTGATTTCCAACGTTTCTTCTTGCGCTTATACTTTTTTAATTTATACTTTACGAATTAAATATCGACTAATTCATTGGTGTAATACATTATGGTAGATATGGAAGTAAGTACTTGCAAGTAATTAAAATTATTCAACGATAAGATAAGAAGTATAACAGATTTCCGTTTTTACACGCCTTATATAATTATAAATTTAAAGGATCGAAGTACCCTAGAAGTAGCTTAGATTATAGATGAGTGAGTCTGCGAGTAATAAAATTAACACTTTTCAGATCTTAATAACTAATAATTATAATAGGTTAATTCTTGATATTTGGGATTGTAGTTCTAGTATTTGAGTGATGGGTGTTTCGAAAGTGGCTTGGAATGGTTCGAATAAATATACGTACTTTTCCGAACTTGTGTTAATTTAAACTACCGTGTGTCTAATATGACAAATGGAATTATCTGTCACCGTTACAGCCTATTTAAAGTCCACTGTTAAACACAGCTCCCCCCCCCCTTCCCCCAGATTGCATATAATTCTTCATATCAATATAATTTTTTCGAAAAACAAAAAGCTTTTGACCCCAAGAATTTTCTCGCCAGTTCTTCTACATAGATACCTTACGCACTTTAGATTTTAACACGTGGTAGGGGCCACGCTGTAGCTACTTTATAGTTGTATAGCACGAATGGGTCGACTCGACCGGAGCAGGACCACGCTCTCACAGAATACCAGCGTAAAATAGCAGCGTAGCAGCATTACTACTAGTGTTTCGTACGGTGAATGTAGAGTACTGGAGACCCCTTTTACTGGAATAGAGGCATTCAATCTTAGTCCTCAGGGTTTACAACGAATTTGCATTTTGATTCTTGATAGGGTATTTTACACCATGTAAAATAAAATAAAAAGTATATATTTATGATAGATTTGGAAAAAAAAACGAGAAATATGGATTTCAGTTTATAGAATTGCGTTATTAATTTTATATTTCAATTTTAAGATTTTTTTTTCGTCGATGCCTTAAATCTGTAAAACGGTGTCCGCCATTTTAGGGTCGTGACGTCACTGATCTAGCCTATGGATATTAGTGTTCTGTATCACTGATTAAGAGAACAAGCTAACGTGCTGTGTTATTTCGAAAATTTTCAAGTTATCATTACGATTATTGAGTTTCATTACGAATTTTATTGAAAAGGCATCATGGAAGACGAATTCGTAAAAGCAGAAAAGGATAAATAGGATAAATAAATTGATGGGGGCATTTTTTTTGCATGCAATCGCAATTTTTGTTCTGCTGAGTTGAGGAATGTTAAAACATCAATGTAAGTACCTATTACCAACTTTTGTTTATAAAAAAACCCAATACCAGGTGAGAGTGTATTTTGATAAAACATAGTTTAGTAGCTATCATACTTCTTTAGTTTATCTATAATTACAATCATTAGCAATCATTAGTTATAATATCTAAATTAACGTAATTTATTACAAAATGAAACTTGCGATACCCTTCACCTCATGACGTTTGTTTTGTATTAAACGATAGTTAAATATAAGTCATACTTACATCAAAATGATCCTCACAGAAGAATAGTCTGGTTTATGTAGACAATGTATTCGGGTATCTACTTGCCAGTTTTAGCCAAGTATTACTTATATTTAAATCAGTTAGCACTTGAATTTATTCGTTCTTATGCTCTTATTTTTGGATGCAGGCACAACACAACAAGGATTTAGATGATAACTCATTATTAAACATTAAAAAGTATCTTACTCCTTTGCAAAATCGGCAGAATCGATGACTGTGAAGTCACGAGTTAAACAACATAGCGGCTAGCGTGTTCACGCGAAAACTTAAAGCGATAGATTAAAAGTAATTTTTATGGCTCAAAAATTATAATGGTTCATTATCACTCTAGGATTCATTTAAAACAATTTTTGAAAATGGGTAAAATACCCTATTGATGATAAATGTGGATGTCTGTGGGCCACAGCATCCACTTACCATCAGGTAGCCTGTATGATCGTTTGTCGCCCTATGCTATAAAAAAAACTTTCCGAACTAATGGGAGATTTTTATGGAGTTTTCATTATCATCACCAGTATTGTAGTCCATCACCAGTCCAATGTTAACCAAAGACCTCCTCCATAGATTACCACATAGTAGTCTTAGTCTTAGTTAGTTAGTACTGTCGTGAATCACCATTATTCATAGACTCCCTGCATGTTTTACCAGGTTGGCACTCCATCTAGTGAGGGACGTTCAACATTGTGCTTCGTCAGTAGGAGGCCTCCAGAAGAGATTTTTTTCCCTGTCTGGTCTTTCCGCTTTGGTTGTCAGAGCGTTGTGGGCTTTTACTTTGTATAAGTTCCATAATCAGGAAGAAAAATTTAGAAGTTCTCAGATTAAAATAATAGTTTGTGAATGAAATAGTTAAATATTGCATTCACTTACAAGAATTTTTTTTTTAAAAAAAGTGTAACAAACAAATACACAGACCATATGATGGTGAGTGGATCTATCCTTGATTAAGAATCAAAATGCAGATGCATTGTCACCCCTGACATTATGGTGGAATACCTCATTTCCGCTAGAAAGGATCTCTGGGTCTCTCACTTATCATACAAAACAGCAGCATTGTGATATGGCCATAATATAGCTGCAGCTTGCAGCATATAATGCATTAACACTGAGGATAATTAAAAATTACTTTTTAAAAAGTCCACTCTGGGTTATAAACCCTGGATTAACAACAACTTATAACCACAACAAATAAACATATTTGCAGAAACCTCCAAAGAAACAAAATAAAAATCACGTGCCATATTGATTACTGATTATACATACAATTCATGCAGGACAATAGCAGAGATGTGAATTATTTGAAATACATGTATTTTAAATACAAATACAAAATGCAAAATGCCTATTTTTATTTTACATTTTAAATCCTTTTTTCGAAATGTATTTAGTATTTTATTTGAAATACTTTATATAATATATTTAGTATTGTAAAATACAAAATAGTTTTGTTACATTTTTAATTCATAAATAAAAAATACTTTATTTATGAACGCACTGATTGTGATCCTAAATGTTGTCACCATTGTCACCAAAAATAATAATGCCAACATAATATAATATTGCGAGTTACCCGTCAAACAAATCTGACATCTGTGGTCAATGTCATTTGTCATGTCAATGAATCAGTGAATTACTGATGTGACGAGTTGAATTTTTTTTTGACTCGAGTTCATATGGCTACTGACTCGAATCGTAACTCGAGTTGACTCGAATCGATGTCTGCTGTAGGGAAAGAGAGGCGACTCGGCCGACTCGGGGACCACGAGTCAGCTCGAGCTCGAGACTGATAGTTATAATAATGATGTTATTTTTTTTTTAAAACATTGCCTTACTTTAGAATAACATTATCCTGTGTTGTAATAACGTTTTATAAACATAAATTTCACGCTGACAAACACCCAAATACCGAACAGCTATCTGTGGGTCACACAAATAGTTGTCCCGTGTCGGAATCGAACCCATGACCCCCGACGCCGAAGCCGATACCTTGGCAACTGCGCCACGGAGACATCAATTGTGAATTTGTGATATTATGATATGGCTGCTCGAGTCGATTCGCAACACGAAACTGTTTGTACTCGATTAAGTCGATTAGCAATCGACTGCATATATTATCATATATGTACGAAAGAAGTATAGCAGGTATTTGCAATCAAAAATATTTATTTATTAAAGTACACTTATTAGAGGTATTAATGGCATTTACTTTTCAGTGTTTAAAAAATCCTTAAACTAATAAATATTACAGTCTTTTAACACAGTTATTAAACTAGGAACATAATGTTGTTATATAATACTTTTATACATATAGTAAAAACTAAGACTAGCAATGTTTAAAAATCTCAATTACAACAACAAAACAAAATTAAAATTTCAAAAAAAGTCTTTCCTTAGAACAAAATAACTCTGTTTTCCTCTAATACTAAAAAAATATATTTCAATAACATTGAAATAAGATATATATTAATATAAGTAGGAAGATAAAATAAAAAAATAACATAATATCACTTCAATACGTCCTCTTTTCGGTACAGAAAGAATTTAAAAATAATATTTGGTCAACTTTTTTGGCATGAGTCTGTTCCTTCTTTGATTCGTAAGTAAACCAGCCTTTGAAAAAAGTCGTTCCGACGGCACTGAGGTAGCGGGAATGCATAAATATTTATATGCCATCCGGCATAGGGTTGGATATACATTTTCCCTTTGCTTCCAAAAATGTATTGGGTTTTGCTTTCTGTTTAGATATGGCAGATCTAGATATTGTCTTAAAACAATGGAAGCAGAAGAGATTGGAGTCTGATGCATGACAGTTTCACTTATTTTCCTGTCAAAGTCTTCCCGTATATCCGAGTCGTCGGCCTTATTTGAAATGGTAACTTCAGATGTCGAAGCAATCGCTCGTTCTGATGTTTGCCCCTGAACTGGCTGATATTGAACCAGTTCCTCTAATACATATTTAACTGCATTTTCTGCAGTACTAATCTTTTTAAATTGGAAATTATAGACAAAACACCTAGTGTTTTGTCTATAATTTCCAATAATGACCTCTATAAGTGATTTCCAGGTTCAGTGCTTGGTCTCTTCTTTATTTTAGCACTCTATAATCCTCTTACTAGGGGAATAATGATAGACTGCGTCGGGCAAGACTCCCCAGATAATACGGTGCTGATTTTTTCCACTGGTTGTAAAATAGCCACACAATCTTCCAGAATCTGCCATTCAGTTGAATTTAAGTTTGGCGGAGGTGAGTCAATAAGTGGTAAAGTAGCGGATAGAGGAACTTTGACTTTTAACAATCTTTCAAACATATAGAAAGTAGAGTTCCACCTTGTTTGTACGTCTTGTTTTAGTTTAATTATTTCTAAGTTCATTTGGCTCTGCATATCTCTAAGTGTATTAGATGATTTAATACTCTGTTTAAAGTGGGTTACTATTGCACGACTTTTTGAAACAATATCCAGCACTGCAGCATTTTTTAAATGTCTATTATGGTCCGTCTCACTATCTTTGCTAATGCAGTCTTTAACGGCAAGATTTAGTGTGTGTGCGACACAGAAATGGTTCCTTTTTTGTAAATAATCCTTGACTGCTTTTTTCATGCTCGAAGAATTATCAGTTACAATCGTAACTACTTTATCGTATATCTCCCACTCTGTTAATGTAGTCCGCAATGCATTTGCAATATTTAATGCAGTGTGATGTTGGGAGAGCTCAGTCGTCGACACTACCATAGAGTGCAGTTTTGAATTATTTATAAAATGTGCAGTTACACATATTATGAAGCTCTTTTGACTGTCTGAATTCCATATATCAGTTGTCAGAGCTATATGTTCCACACTTTGTAATTTGCCAATAACTTCTGAACGGCATATTTTGTATTTATCTTCCAGCATTTGGGTCAACTTTTTTCGTGATGGCAGCACATAATCCGGATTTAATCTTAGCGAATACTTTTTAAAACCTTCGTTTTCAACTATTTGTAGTGGCTGCATATCTAAAACAATCAAATCTAATAGCGCATCATCTCCTACTTTTTGGTTGATTTTAGTAGGAGCAATTAAACGCATTTGTTTTGGGCGCTTCGGAGGGGGTTCGTTGGACTCTGTGACATTTCGTATCTGTGATGGCGGCAAAATGATACCGTTTTGAATTTGACCGGCTTCTGCTCCGCTAATTAAAGAATTAGTACAAATCTGTTCAGGTACATTTTCATTTAGTTCCCTGGGTAAATTTTGTCCAATCGCTTCACTGTACTGAACTAAATGTCTTTTCCTTATATGTTTCACCAATGTTGTAGTATTTCCTACGTCTTTATATACAGATGAACACAATTTGCATTTAACTTTGTTATTATCTTTATTTTTATCAAAGAATTGCCAAACGACACTTCTTTTATTTGGCGCCATTACGAACAAAACACAAAACAAAAAAGTCAGGTCACGCGCGGATCGCTAACGGTCAATCAACTAATAAAATTAAACAACAAAATGTCAACGGTTTAGTTTTTAAATAATTGCTTAATTTATATTATAGCAATATTTTATTACTTTTATCACATTTTTAGTTTTAATAAGATTAGATTTTCAAGTTATAAATAAAATAAACGAAATAAATACAAAAGAAAAAAAAATGTCAATCAAAATAAACATTCAACGCAGTTTTTCATTCGCGCAATTCCGTTCCGATCCTGGCCGAGCGAGCCCGACTCAACCCGAGTTCTACAGTTCACTCAACTCGAGTTGATGCTAGTTGCAACGCCTCGAACCGCGCGCGCGAGAGGTCTGTTAAGCTGGAATGGTCATTTGGGCAAAATCACTTCAATTTTTGCTAAATATTTAGTGCTCATTTAGTGCTAATTTAGTGCTGCAAATTTAAATTTCACGCCAAAATAGCTTTATCAAAAATTAGAAAACTGCTAGCTTTTAATTAAGCTAGCAGTGTTCTACCTATTAAATCGATAAGCACTTAATACAGCAACAAATAGAAGCATTTAGTGCTTATTTAGTGCTGCCGATATACACAATAACAAATATTGGGACAAATATATATTTTTTTAATATCATAAATTCTGCTACTTTGACATCTTTAGCAGAGTATGTGATGATACCTTGACATCCAAGTGAATTCTCACCTAATGATATAAGATAATCAATTAGTGCTTATTTAGTGCTGTCGATGTACGCAAAAACAAAACTTGGGAAAATATAAATTATTAATTACATAAACAGTGCTACTTTGACATCTTTAGCAGAGCATGTAATGAAAAAATTGACATCAGAGTGGGCTATCACCTAATTATATAAGATAATAAATTAGTGCTCATTTAGTGCTGTCGGTATACGAAAAAGGATTTGGGAAATTATTATTTTTAAATACCGTAAACTGCTACCTTGACATCTTTAGCAGAGTATGTGATGAAACATTGACATCCAACTGGATTCTCACCTAATGATATAAGATAATAATTTAGTGCTCATTTAGTGCTGTCGATGCACGCAAAAACATAACTTGGGAAAATATATATTTATTAATGTCATAAATTTTGCTACTTTGACATCTTTAGCAGAGTATGTGACGAAACATTGACATCCAAGTGGATTCTCACCTAATGATATAAGATAATAATTTAGTGCTCATTTAGTGCTGTCGATGTACGCAAAAACAAATATTGGGATATTATATTTTTTATTTTCATAAACTCTGCTACTTTGACATCTTTAGCTGTGTATGTGATGAAATATTGACATTCATGTGAGTTATCACTTAATGATATAAGATAATAAATTAGTGCTCATTTAGTGCTGCCGATATACACAAAAATAATATTGGGAAAATATATTTTTTTTAATATCATAAATTCTGCTACTTTGACATCTTTAGCAGAGTATGTGATGATGATACCTTGACATCCAAGTGGATTCTCACCTAATGATATAAGATAATAATTTAGTGCTTATTTAGTGCTTGTCGATGTACGCAAGAACAAAACTTGGGAACAAAACTTTTTAAATACCGTAAACTGCTACCTTGACATCTTTAGCAGAGTATGTGAAGATACATTAACATCCAAGTGAATTATCACCTAATGATATGAGATAATCAATTAGTCTCATTTAGTGCTGTCGATATACGAAAAAGAATTTGCGAAATTATTATTTTTTAATACCGTAAACTGCTACTTGCTACTAACTGGTATTTAAAAGAAATAATTTCCCAAATCCTTTTTCGTATACCGACAGCACTAAATGAGCACTAATTTATTATCTTATATCATTAGGTGATAGCCCACTCTGATGTCAATTTTTTCATTACATACTCTGCTAAAGATGTCAAAGTAGCAGAGTTTATGAAAATAAAAAATATATATTTTCCCAATATTTGTTTTTGCGTACATCGATAGCACTAAATGAGCACTAAATTATTATCTTATATCATTAGGTGATAACTCACTTGGATGTCAATGTTTCATCACATACTCTGCTAAAGATGTCAAAGTAGCAGTTTACGGTATTTAAAAATAATAATTTCCCAAATCCTTTTTCGTATACCGACAGCACTAAATGAGCACTAATTTATTATCTTATATCATTAGGTGATAGCCCATTCTGATATCATTTTTTTCATTACATCCTCTGCTAAAGATGTCAAAGTAGCAGAATTTATGATATTAAAAAAATATATATTTTCCCAATATTTGTTTTTTCGTATATCGACAGCACTAAATGAGCACTAATTTATTATCTTATATCATTAGGTGATAACTCACATGAATGTCAATATTTCATCACATACACTGCTAAAGATGTCAAAGTAGCAGTTTATGAAAATAAAAAAAATATAATATCCCAATATTTGTTTTTGCGTACATCGACAGCACTAAATGAGCACTAAATTATTATCTTATATCATTTGGTGAGAATCCACTTGGATGTCAAGGTATCATCACATACTCTGCTAAAGATGTCAAAGTAGCAGAATTTATGATATTAAAAAAATATATATTTTCCCAATATTCGTTTTTTCGTATATCGGCAGCACTAAATGAGCACTAATTTATTATCTTATATCATTAAGTGATAACTCACATGGATGTCAATGTTTCATCACATACACTGCTAAAGATGTCAAAGTAGCAGTTTATGAAATTAAAAAAATATAATATCCCAATATTTGTTTTTGCGTACATCGACAGCACTAAATGAGCACTAAATTATTATCTTATATCATTTGGTGAGAATCCACTTGGATGTCAATGTTTCATCACATACTCTGCTAAAGATGTCAAAGTAGCAGAATTATATGACATTAATAAATATATATTTTCCCAAGTTATGTTGTTTGTAGGCAGCACTAAATGAACACTAAATTATTATCTTATATCATTAGGTGATAACTCACATGGATGTCAATGTTTCATTACATACTCTGCTAAAGATGTCAAAGTAGCAGTTAGCGGTATTTATAAATATAAATTTCCCAAATCCTTTTTCGTTTACCGACAGCACTAAATGAGCACTAATTTATTATCTTATATCATTAGGTGATAGCCCACTATGATGTCAATTTTTTCATTACATACTCTGCTAATGATGTCAAAGTAGCAGAGATTTATGAAAATAAAAAAATATATTTTCCCAAGTTTGTTTTTGCGTACACCGACAGCAATAAATTAGCACTAAATTATTATCTTATATCATTAGGTGAGAATCCACTTGGATGTCAATGTATCATCACATACTCTGCTAAAGATGTCAAAGTAGCAGAATTTATGATATTAAAAAAATATATATTTTCCCAATATTTGTTTTTCGTATATCGGCAGCACTAAATGAGCACTAATTTATTATCTTATATCATTAAGTGATAACTCACATGAATGTCAATATTTCATCACATACACTGCTAAAGATGTCAAAGTAGCGAGTTTATGAAAATAAAAAAAAATTATAATATCGCAATATTTGTTTTTGCGTACATCGACAGCACTAAATGAGCACTAAATTATTATCTTATATCATTAGGTGAGAATCCACTTGGATGTCAAGGTATCATCACATACTCTGCTAAAGATGTCAAAGTAGCAGAATTTACGGTATTAAAAAAATATATATTTTCCCAATATTTGTTTTTTCGTATATCGGCAGCACTAAATGAGCACTAATTTATTATCTTATATCATTAAGTGATAACTCACATGGATGTCAATATTTCATCACATACACTGCTAAAGATGTCAAAGTAGCAGTTAGTATGAAATTAAAAAAATATAATATCCCAATATTTGTTCTTGCGTACATCGACAGCACTAAATAAGCACTAAATTATTATCTTATATCATTAGGTGAGAATCCACTTGGATGTCAAGGTTTCATCACATACTCTGCTAAAGATGTCAAAGTAGCAGAATTTATGATATTAATAAATATATATTTTCCCAAGTTATGTTTTTGCGTATATCGGCAGCACTAAATGAACACTAAATTATTATCTTATATCATTAGGTGATAACTCACATGGATGTCAATGTTTCATTACATACTCTGCTAAAGATGTCAAAGTAGCAGTTAGCGGTATTTAAAAATAATAATTTCCCAAATCCTTTTTCGTTTACCGACAGCACTAAATGAGCACTAATTTATTATCTTATATCATTAGGTGATAGCCCACTATGATGTCAATTTTTTCATTACATACTCTGCTAATGATGTCAAAGTAGCAGAGTTTATGAAAATAAAAAAATATATTTTCCCAAGTTTGTTTTTGCGTACACCGACAGCACTAAATGAGCACTAAATTATTATCTTATATCATTAGGTGAGAATCCACTTGGATGTCAATGTTTCATCACATACTCTGCTAAAGATGTCAAAGTAGCAGAATTTATGATATAAAAAAAATATATTTTTCCAATTTTTGTGTTTGCGTATATCGGCAGCACTAAATAAGCACTAAATTATTGATGCTTCTATTTGTTGCTGTATTAAGTACTTATCGATTTAATAGGTAGAACACTGCTAGCTTAATTAAAAACTAGCAGTTTTCTAATTTTTGATAAAGCTATTTTGGCGTGAAATTTAAATTTGCAGCACTAAATTAGCACTAAATGAGCACTAAATATTTAGCAAAAATTTAAGTGATTTTGCCCAAATGACCATTCCAGCTTAACAGACCTGCGCGCGAGCCGCTTGTGTAACTCGGAAGAACTCGCGTGTGTAACTCGGAACACCGCGCGCGTATAACTAACAGGCCCGGTCAACTCTGTATGGACAGAATGAAATACCTACGGGGGCTGAATTTTATTATTGCCATTTGTCAGATAAATGTCTTGTTTTATAATTAGTAAGATTTTTCTAAAGATAAATTACACTCAAAAATTTTGAATATAGAAATAATAATCCATAGGAAG